ACACACACCCACACCCACACCTTCTGCCTGATTCTGACACACATCCACATCCACACACACACTGCCTGACTCTGACACACTTACTCACACATACACACATACACACACAACCTGACTCTGACACCCACACACACTATCTCACCAGAAACCAAAAACCAAACTCACTGCTGTTGAGTCAGATCCGACTCACAGCAACCCCTCCTTGGATTTCCGAGGCAGTATCTCTATGGAGGTAGATTACCCAGTCTTCCTTCCGAGGAGTGGCTGATGGGTTTGAACGGCCAGCCTTCTGGTTAGCAGTCAAATGCCTTGGGCATTATGCCCAAGGGCTCCTAGTCTTCAGATTTTTACTTCACAAATCAAGTTGATTCCATCAGTCAACTTGGAGCAATTCTGGGCCTTCCTTCGTTTGTATGGATGCTTGAGCTTTCCCTTGACCTCCTCAACCAGAGCTCCCTGCAAAGTGGCCAGTGACGTTAACTGGAAGCTTTCTAAGGAATCTGACTTTAAATTCTCCCAGTTCACAGAAATGTCCTTTCTCAGCCATATTTACCCAGTCACATGCCATATTCATCCAGCTCAAAGTGCACTCCCCAACCCCCTATAGTCAACCAACTCAAAGCACACACACCCCTACCGTTGCCGCCATACTCTGGTATAACAGGAAGAGGCTTCACTTGGAGAGGGTGGTCTTGACCTCATGTTCTGGCTCTGTGACTAACAAGGCATGGGAGTGTCAGAGGTCCCTAAGTCACTTTGTCCACCAGTCTCTTGGAATGTTGGTTTCTTCTCTGTGAACTGGGAGGTTAGCCTCCTTGTGGTGGTGGGTAGGCAGGACATGGCTGAGCCCTGTAGGAAGAGTAGATGTGTGTAAGTTGACTCTGGACCTAAATGCCTGCTTGTAATTTTAGAATCAAAACCACAGAAGATAAAACCCCCTTGACCAAGAATATGACCCAAGAAGAAGTTATTGAAAAACTCAAAAACTGTGTCCAGCAGCACGACCCAGATTTCCGAAAACAATTTCTTGCCTTCGGCAAGGGGCCTAATGGAAAAATTAATGAACATGACTTCAGGAAGGTAGGCCAATGGGTTCTCTGTGTCTCTCTGACTTTCCTGAAGGAGTGTGGTCATTTTCTTATAATAATGTTCTCTGAAGGATAGGAAAGGCACTCTAGTGGCTCAGTGGTTAAGGATTGGGTGCTAACGAAAAGGTAGATGGTTTGAACCCACCAGCTGCTCCATTGGAGAAAGAAGAGGTGTCTGCTTTCATAAAGGTTTACAGCCTTGGAAACCTTATGGGGCAGTTCAACTCTAGGGTTCTCTAGGGTCACTGTGAGTCGGAATCGACTCAGTGGCACTTGGGTTTTTTGGTTTTTAAAGGATAGGAATTGTGTTTTCAGTAATGGTTGATTCCAAGATGGAGGAGAACCATTTTCAGGCATCTTTTCAACAATGTGAAAGAATTATTTTGGCCAAAACTGTCTTTGGCAAATTTCTTCAGAGAACACTTTCACTATGGGTGTGGCCCAGTTTTGTTCGTTGTATTCATTGGTGTGTGGTTTGGCACCTGCTGTGACCCCAGCCCTGTGTCTGGTGGAACAGAACTGGGCTGGGAATACAGGGATGCCAGAGCCCCTCCCTGCCAGAGAGGGCTTCTCACGGTGCTCGTGGCCACAGAGCTTGGGTTTGTTCCTCCGGAGAGCTAAAAAAGTAAAATGAAGTGAAACCTGGCAGG